CATGACGTCACATACGCGCTTTCGTCGACCGCGATTTTGTCGTCCGCGGTTTTGTGGTAGAACCGAACGTTCTTCTCAGCGTGGCGCAGGATGGTCCATATCCCCCCCCCCCCCCTGTTTGTTGTGTTAGATCCGGGGTCCCGGGGCTATTTATGCTGCGGGGAGGGCCTGTTCTTCTTGTGTGTCCCTAGTTGGCGCTGCGCCTAGTCAGAATTGGAAGTCAGCAGGGGAAGCTGGAGGCGTGGCTTCAATTCTGACTCAGTCTCTTGGGCAAATAAGGGTTATTGAACTCCCACTTCTGGTCCCTCCTGCGCCACGCTGAGAGGAACATTCAGGTAGGGCCAACGTTGCTTTCCATTGGAGGTGGGTTGTCCGTTTGGGTTCCCATAATTTGACAGCCGTGGGCACAAAACAGTCCCCCGTTCTGCAGAATTGTGCCTGTCAGAGAAGAAGTTGCCACTTTGTGGGGCTGAGTGTGTAAGGGCCATGCGCTCTTCCGCCAGCGGTTTTCTGGGAAACCATCTCGGGCGTGTTATGAAGCAAGGCTTGCTTCCTTCCTTCCGAGGTCGTTTGTGCAAAGGCTGCGTGAGCCTTTGCTCCCTTTGGAAAGGAGATAATCTTGACTTTTACTATAATCCCTCTTTAATTGATCTTCTTTCCCAGAGCCTCCAAAGCTCTCCTGGCTGTGAGACTTCGGCCGGGTGGCCCAGTTAGCCACTGAAAGTGGAGTCACCCTAAGCGGATGAGCGGGCAGGTTTCCCCAGCAACCACCGGGACCTTGGATGTAAACATTAAACGGAAGTGGGAGAGCAGGCAGCTTCCTTTAACTTCCCAGGATTTGATAAATGCCCGTTTATCAGAGCAGATGACTGCTCAGTAAGGGTTAGAGAACATCCTCAGACTGGTGCAGTTATAAAAAATCCAAATAAGGGGGGATCTCTCCTCTGGCTTCCTCCAGAGAGAAATTTCTCCAGGAAACAGAATCAGATGTGATTTCTTATCAGTGGAAGCTGTGTGTAAAGGTTAAGGACCCCTCATTTGTAGGATGCTGGTGGAAAGTTCTTGGCTAGAAAATCAACAAAAGCATTGTCAAATTGAGAGCCATGTTGGTGTGGGATCAGGATAGCAGCTGGGAGACGGGGAGTTCTAGTCCCATCTTAGGCACAAAGCCAGCTGGGGGAACTTGGACCAGTCTCTCGCTCTCACTCTCCCCCCCTCTTGCCAAAGGAGGCAAACTCTTTTTGAAAAACCTTTGCAAGAGAACCTCAGGGATTTGTGTTCGAGGCAGCCTCTGAGAATCGGATGCGGTGGAAGGAAAGGGGGAAAAATAGTCGCTATGAGACCGGTTTCGCAAACCGGACAGAATATTTTCAGAGTTAATGTAGATTCACTTTTTCTGCTTCATTTTGTCAGCATCTCTTGGTAAAATATTTTAGCTTAAAGTTACCTAGATCCGGAATATGCAGGGTCCGTGTTTTTAAAAACTCAGCTTTCTGGTGTTAATGTAGGCCTTATTCTGTTTTGTATGCTGTTTTACTTCCTAAAAGGTTCACTTTAATTTGGGTGTTCTTTCGGTGATACCGGTTTTTTCCCCACTGGGATGCTAAGAAATTATATTAGTAGCTTATAACGCTGGCACGGATAAAATGGTTATAATGTACCTAAGCAAATCATATAATTTATTACAACTTTTTCCTGTCTCGCATAGTGCGCTGCATCATAGCGTAGCACACCTCATAAGCTAGACAGTTTGTAACTCAGTCTGTGAAAGTTTGTAGTGCAGAAGGATGCGGGAAAGGCAGAAGAAGGTAGGTGGATTTAGCCATAGCATAAAGTAAGTTTGTCAACTATTTTTGCAATTTGATGAAAAATTCAGGTGTTCTAGCTTTACCCAGATTTATATAGTATTTGTGGGTAAATAGAACTTTTTTTAACATTCACTTGAGTATTTGTTGTTTCCACAAAAATTTGAAACATCGTTTTGTGGACTGTAAAATTTTATTAAGTCAGCAGTCTTCTGGTCTTCAGTCTGCTCGGACTAAACTGTACTTGTTGCTATTTTTTTTCTCAGTTTCTCCTATTTATTTTCTTTTTGCTACTTTTTTTGTACCGGGACTGCCCCGCCTGGCCTTCAGTGACCAAGGAAGTTGCTCATAATATTTGTCAGGATGATTGGCACTTTCTGTTCCTGCCAAGGGCACCTTCCAAAGCCCTGCATAAGGCCACAGCAGAATCCCTCCACACACCCCACCGCTTCCTTGGAAGCTATGCGCCATCCCCAGTCCCTCCCGGGAGCTTCCTTCCTCTCCCGGAAGGGGTGGGATCCTTCTCCACCTGCACTTCCATTCTTCAACCGAAGGGAATGCTTAATTAGGGCCGAGCGTTCTTCCTCAAATCCATCCGCTCGGTCGAATGAAAGGTGGCTCCTTTCCCCTTCACATGTCGCCCGCCGAACTAAACCTGACTGGGAGCCAGTTTGGTCTAGTGATGAAGGCACCAGGCTAGGAAGAGAACTGGAGACGGGGAGTTCCAGTTCTGTCCTAAGCATGGTTGGGTGACTTTGGGCCAATCACCAGGAGACAGTGAGTTCCAGTCCTGCCTTAGCCATGAAGGCCAGCTGGGTGACTTTGGGACAATCCCTTCCTCTCAGCCCAATTCACCTCACCGGGTTGCTGGGTTGGGATACATGGAAATGATAAAGCCGGGATACAAGATAATTCTCTTGGATGAGCCTGGGGGTGGGGAAGAGGTCTCCTACCTGATTGCACCAGCAAAGCCCCTCTTCCCAGCCTCTGGGTGAAAGCCCCTTCCCCCCCCCCGGCTGCTCCTCTCCAGAGTCCCGTCTGTCCCCTCCATCCTGCTCTTGGGACACCCTCTGAGCTTGGGGGTAAAGCAGCAGTTCCCTTGGCCCAGGGCCCAATCCTCCGGGCGTTT